GCATTCTAAGCTTTTGTACCCTCTTCTTGTGAAATAATCGTTCCTCTTATACAATGAAACGCTTTACTTTTTTCACTGGAATAAAGCACCGTCGTGTTGTCTAATATCTTGTATGTAAGACTGAAATGTCATCATTTGTTTTAATTTCCCGTTTGGATTATCTGAGAAAACATTGAACGACCATGTGAAGTAAAAGAAATAGACGTTCATTATTTTCCAAAAATCACCACGTGTTAGTTTTCGTAGTTGAAGATGTGATCAAAACATTTTAGCAATGCCGATATACAAATATCATAATTCAAGTAAAGGACACGTCTGCAACAACAGATATATTCCACAACAATCCTGCGATGGTGCACTATAAATAATGTTGGTTTTTTATTTCAATATATTATGTTTTAAAAAAGTTGCAACGTAGATCGGAAATACGCATAAGCGAATATTATTTACGTTTTCACATTTCCGTTGAGAAAACGACCTAACATTTGTTGACATTTTCGGTAAGTTAAATTTAACTTGTTCTAGCTCCCTTGCCATGTCATATTTATCATTTGTTTGGTATATTTTAAATTACTCATATAAAACGCCAGATATAGCACATATGATATCTTTTATTCAAACAGATGCAATGACATGGAATTGGGATTGGCGATCGTTATGTTACAGTTTTAATAACCTCACTGCATAATTTCAACTTAACAAAGACACACTTAATTGTGAATAATTTTAGTAATCGTACTAACCAATGTAAGATCGATTGACATTTAGTCTAAAAGTACTAAAACTAAAAGCAATATTGGTTTTCATAGTTTTTCTTAACATTTTACACTGTACTTGTTTAATATTTATTCACTGTATCATTCCAGATATCTATTTAATAAGACCAACATACTGTGTAGGTACATTTGTATGTGTACATATATATTATAAGCATAATTTTCGTACAGTTATAGTAGTTTATCTATAAATTGCAGTGCCAGTGGAATGTAAACATATGGAATGAGTAAGGACGTAGTGGGCCACTATATCTTACAATTATAGTTTTCACCTTATCAATAACAGTCCGAATGATATTTCAGTTTAGATACCTCCTTATTAAACACGGTATACGTTCTTACAAGTGCTAAAGCGGCATTAACAAAGAGAAGAATGAAAACATGGTTCCTGATTTACTTGGATATTATTTTTACAAAAAGTATAATTAACAAAATTGCTAAAGACTGTATTGATAAATAGAAAATAACAACATCAACAAAAAAGTTAAAAGAGCAGAACATGCCAATTGTCTGAAACATTATTCTAAATCCTTTCTTCTCTTTCCTTGTCATGTTTGAATAAATGAAGAAGGAGGTTTATTTCATTATAAAACCGATGTTAAGAGTGAAGTATCCTTGGAACGTGACCAAGTTGGCGTTATATCCATCTGTCTGATTAATATGGCACATCTAGACAATTAATGTTTTAGAGAAGTAAATACACCAAATCAGATTTGCCCTTTAATGATAGAAGCTTTGACTGTAAAATGCACCTATTGTGAGAGTATTGTATAACAATACTTGTAGCACTTATCGGATTGATCATCATCAAAATAGTCATTATATCTTCTTCTGAAATATTCCGCAAGGGGAAACGGCTAAAGATTAATATTACATCTAATAGAGAAATGTCTGATAGTTAATGATTTGCCATTCTACTCTGGTTCATTACTGAATTCCGATGCCTAGTCTTTGCTTTAAACATAATTGACAAATCAGCAAAGGGATAAACTTTTGAAAACAGATGATAATTTCTGCAAATAACTTGGTATGACAGAAACCGTAAAATATAATTAAACTTGATACTTGATTCTAGACATATTCAACTTGCAAAATGTGTGGTTTATTTGTTTGTAGCATTTGAAATTTGTATTTTTTACAATGATTAATTTGTTAGATAAGCTCAAGTACATCCTTAAGTGTAATATTTAACAAAGAATCATTTACAGATTAATAATACGAGAAAGCTTCCGGTAAACGCAATTATCCTCCTTTCAATTTTTACATTTTATCTAAGATTGGTTTCAACAGTGATAATAATATTTTCCTGAAACTTTTAACAGACTCCATCTTCTTCTGTTAAAATAATGACTTAGGATTAATTTGATTCTAGCAGATATTGTTTAAACATTAAAATATTTTCAATATGATAAATCTCTCCGGCGGCTTATCATATAAAATAATCACCCCCTATGGCGGCTATATCAGATCATATCATTAATCTCTTGTGCTGTTATGCAAAATCTAATAAAAAAGACATTAACTTAATCAGGGTACAATAAATTGAAATTCAATTCTCCATTGTTTGCTTTTTTAGCCTTGCATTAGTTTTAATTTAAATTATAAAGGCACAAGGCAAGGATAACATTTGTCACACGTGTGATACATACGACCCCAATTGTCAACCAATGTCATTTCAAAACTCACGTATGTCACACTTTGCATGCATATCTGCAGTGGGTTGTGTTTGTTTGGATACGCCTTTCTATGTGTTCTAGAATAACATTTTTCACATACATTATTTTTCGTAGACGAAAACATATGTCACGTATCTCTACATAAGGACAAACAACAGCGTATCCAAAAGAACCTGATGTTGCAACAAACAAATTTGCATCCAATTAAGCATAACTGAATTAGTTCAAAATGCTCTTTAGACTGGCATTACGTTTTTGGTTAAGTAAATATGAGAATTGTTGATCCCATTTGACCTACAAAGCTGAAGTTCCTTGAGCTATTACAAACATGGCACGAATAATTGACACAACTAAATGTGTACGTCTTTTAGGTGGATCACTTAAACCATGTACTTATATTTTCAACACGCATTTTTCATTTAAAAGCAAAAAACATCATGAATATGTAATTAATGAAAGTAACAGTATTTGTCGCAATATCAAATAATAAAAAGCTTTAGATATTTTCCACAATAAGTTCTATAACGAATCTATATCAGTCACAAAGTTCTTTGAAATTCAAGCCCTCCCTTTTTACTAATTAAAGTAAAGTTATATCAGGATTAAACTAGTCACATACTTGCTTGCTGATTTATCTCATGGCGTAACAAACTCAAACAGCAACTAAAGCTCTTTGTGCTTAACCTTGTAATTACTGACCTAATTCTAGAGCCATCCCATTTTTTCACGTTTCATCTCATGCAAATTAATCATAACAGTACTAGTAGTTTAGCCATAACAACATGTAAAATCTGCCATAAAATAATAACAAACTTTAAATCGCTTTGTAATTCAAATGGTCCAAATTCCAGCGCTTTTGTAATGTTGTTTTTCAAATTTATTTGTACTGTTGTTGTTAACATGAATTGACTTTTAACACAAAATGAATTAAGGATTTTTACAATCCTTTATCTTTTTATTTTTTAAAAAAGAATTTCCTGAACTAATTTAAACTTATTATGCATAAGCATATTTCCTTACTAAATGTGACGAGTGAAGAAATAAATATACGTCACACTTGTCAAAAAGCAATTATAATACCGGGGGAGTGTCCTGCTATGAACATGTTACTGTTAAAGGTCCATAAATGATAAAACCGTTTATAAATTATTCACAGTATTCAACGCGAAATCACTAGTTCAATAAAATGATATTTTCATTAATGCATGCCATTCCTGTTATTTTTTCCGGTACGACTTGCGGAACAATGCATTTCATTTCTGCAACATTTTGTGTCAATAAAAAAGACCATAGCCGTGTTGTTTGGTATAGTGTAATAGATAAATGCATTTTTATGATTGATATGTACGTATGTGCGTGTTCGTTGTTTTGATAATTAAAAGGTTGTCGTTGTAACTCACTTAAATGTATCCCTGTGTAACCGTCAAGATAAAATTTTAATATGAATCTTTTTCCTAACCTTCTTTTGAATTTAATGTTGTTTAGATAGTTGGCATTATTTGATTCATTCATGTTGCAAAAAAGTCTCGGTGACGTCAACGGCAATTTTAACGAAACAATAATAAGTTTTATACTTCGTGTGGTTACATAAATAGAGGTTAGACATAAGTAATTTCCTAGCAGCGTCTACTCGTCATAAATAAAATTTATCTCTGCATGCGACTAATGTCAGGAAGATACTGTATGGCTTACTTCCTCAGATTGTTGCGTGGTGTATTTTAGATATCAAGAATAAGGTGTATTTTAGATATCAAGAACAAGGTGTATTTTAGATATCAAGAATAAGGTGTATTTTAGATATCAAGAATAAACGGTGTCTTTACTACTTGAATTAAATAGCGATTATATACGCAAGTCCTAAAATAAGACGCTAATCAAAACGCCAAATTAAAATGACATGAATGTTCTTGTGAAGCCTATATTGTACGATTTTAATAGATAAAATATATATTGACGAGATGTTAATCCCTCCCTACTTTGTATTAAAATGTAAAATATAAAATAATTTCATTCATCAAATTGCTCCAATTACAACCTTGAAATTATGATTGTCGTATTGTATAAATGGCAAAAAGGGCTTAAAATATAGAATATGTGTTCATGTTTTCAACATTTTAATAGAATGTAAAAACTTTAAAATGTAGAAATAATTATGGGGAATCTTATGTTTACTTTATGAAATATCAGAAATTTAGCTTGTAATTTGATTATATATAAATCAGACACTTACACTTGTTTAACAAAAAAAAAAATTATCCTAAAACAGATAAAAATAAAGGTAATCTTAAACTATGAAACAATTAACAAAAGAAATTACTGGTTTGAAAGTAATTTTTATGGAAGCGTAGATTAAACTTAAATTTCGATAAAAATTTAAATTGTTATATCTGTATTCTATATCCTAAAAAACAATTTAAAATGCCTCTTGAAGAATGAAATTGCCAAATTATTAAATTTTCTAGTCACTATTGTTAAAACTACTACATACCAGCCGGTAAAATATAAGAGCAGTGGAAAATAATTACGTAATCAAAAAAATAATATTTACCTTTTCAAATCCAGTTTTTTATAACAATTTAAGAGATATATTAGTGAGAACATACACTATATCCGTCATCAAGCATTATTGCTGCGACCAGTATGTGCCAAGCTCTTAAATATCTTTTGTCGCCGCTGAATTAGCTCACGCTTTGTAAAATCCAATACAGGAATATGTTAGATTCATTCATTAGAATTGACTCGTTGTCAATCAACTCAAATCCTCGTAGCAACCACTGACACATGTCACTGTTATTATCACTTATCACATTTGAACATCAGAACACGGAAGATATTATAAGAAGACTGTTTTGAACAAATAAATTCCACAATGTCGTTCAAACCGTTATTGAGTACTTTATGACTTTTTATACTTTTTTAATAAAATTTCACATGATGTGTAATGTATACATTCATGTCAGTATTTACATAATTATATTAATTATGCAAAACAATCAGCGATTATGATTCTTATCTTTATAAAATAGTCACTTTGGGGCTGCAGCGTTATTTGTTAGGCGTGATTGTCAAAAGCAGAATAACCACATATTCAATCACAGCTACATTACTTTGTTATGTTAGAGATTGTTCTGTAGGAAAGTCTCGCTATGCGCTATGCAGTTTATTCAATTACACAATAATTTCCCTTTGGACGGTTCCAAAGTTACAATATTATACAGGAGTATGTCTCAACCACATTCTTCCATGAATATAGCCTGTTTTGTTTTATTTTATATTTTTATATGCTTCGTAACTTTTATGCTTTTATCCTTTAATTAACATCTTATTGCTATTTAGTGCTTCTGTCAATGTCTCATGTTAAGAAATAACACTTCATACACTCATAATATAGAATACCAATCCCCGATAGTATTTAAAAAAATTGTTTGTTTGTTTGCTTTTTATTTTGTTTGTTCGTTTGTTTTGCTCTAACGCACATTGACACATAACTGGCCATACCATGCCGAACACTATGATTGTTAGCATAAGATTATTGAACCTAAAACTAAAAAGGGTAAGTACAAGGTTATAAAACGAGTTTGTAAAATCTTAGAATACAGGTTTATATCCTTTAAGTAGTTGATTAATGATTAATGATTGAAAGAGCCGAGTAAAAAAGTTCTGAAAGTCAATTTACTTGCTAACATTTATCATAAACCTTGCAAGATCATGACATTTAAGGAGCAAATGTTTGACAGTATAATATTTATTGAAACCTATAACAAAAAGGAGCGTCATAGCCTGTTGAAAGATATGAATATGTATGTGTTTTATTCCACATCTAAGAAGGACCACATGATCATGACAATTTTAAAAGAGATAGGTGTCGAATCGTTTAGGCAGGGGTTTATATAATGAATTGCTAAATATTGCTCAATTTGATTTCCATTCGAAGATTTATGGAAGGTTCAAAATCACTATTTGGTAACAGTATTTCTAATGGTTAAGTATTTAAAGATCCTTGAGCTAAATAATCTATTTTTTTCATTTTCTCGTATTCCTTCGTGGCTTGGGATCCAACATAACTTCACTAACCTGGCTTTTATGACAACATTAAATCGCAACAAGAGTTCCATTATCATTATAATGTCGTATGCTTGATTTTTAATTGATAATTACACAGAGAGTGAACCTGAAAAAAGTAGCAAATTTAACATAACAATTATGCTTTAAAATGTATGTAGCAAGACATGAAATAGGGACTAAGAATGCTCTGGAGAGTCTAAGGGGACGCCGCCGACACCGCTGACAAAAGGACGACGCAATAGAAAATGACATTTGAAACATGGTGTTTTATAATATACACATTAATGGTACGTGTAGTTCAAGGCCCATAAAACTTTTTTTAAAAAATGCTATAAATTTTATTTCTTAAAAAATCATTATTTTTTGGTATCTTGTTACAGTTTAAAAAAAATACTCAATTGTCACATAGTTGAACTATCTTTTGTTTTTTTTGCTTTGTTGGCAGTTGATACAGTTATAGCGAATACTTTTTTTGTATGCAAGTCAATTACTATTTTGTTTACGTTTTGCTACCTTTATGACAAATTACTTCACGTTCAGTGCTACCTATTCAGTTATATATTGATTTTCGGTGATAGTTTATATCCATTAACGAAATTGCTGGGTTGAATCATACACAAAGATTTCCCTCGGGAATGATCAGTTTCAAGACATGATGCTAAATCACAAATTCTGTTTCAAGGGATATTCACATGTTTTAACAGTATTTGAAATCCCCTTGATATCAAATCTAAATGTAAACACTCATACTCATTCAACCTGTAATATTTAAATCTACAAATGCGTAACATTAATAATGTAAATTGCTTGAAACTATCAAATACACGCTTCACAGGTAGTTGTAATTACATAACAGGATTCTGACCTTTATTGTGGGTTTTAAATGACTGTATCAAAATGAATGGGAAAAATAACACTGACTTAACTAAATAAATTGACTTTTTTTAATTTGACATGTGACCATTTAAGAATGTATGATGCTGGCAACTATCTTATCATAGTTATCTAATTTTAACTGAAAACGTAAATTACATGTTCACGTATTAATGTTCGAAACTCGCCTTTATTTGCGGGTAGGCAACCTTAGCATTTAACGTACAACAATTTATTTGTTTTGCAACATACCGACTTTCAAATGAAGACATATTATAACTTATAACACAAAACGTTATTTGATAGTAAAGGTTGCTGACGTTAAACATTGACAAAAACAAAAAGAAATATAGATATTATCATTAAATTTTATAATTAAAATCAAATCAACGATTTTTCAAATATAATGAGTAAAAATTGAAGTTCGTTATTTATCTTCTATCCTCGTGGGGTTTAAAATCTACGAAAAAAAAATCCCGAGGAATGTCCAATTTGAATTCTAGCAATTATCAGTAGCACTTGTTAATGAAACGCAGAAAATCATCTACATTAACTTAATTTGGGACTAACTTTAGCAGTCACTGTTCTCGTTGTAATCAACTATAAAATTGTAATTTGGATCATGTAGGAAGAGCTTTGTACAGAGAAAGCAAAATATGTTTTTTCTAAAACAATAATGCCGGCATTGGTATGAATATTTCAACATTGATGTTCTACCAATTGCAGAACAATTGACAAAATTGTAAAGTAACAGTTGGTAATTTCATATAAAAAGGAAATCATAAGATTTAAAAAAATTTCTTTACACTCATCAAACTGATCAACGAATCTGTTGCAATAATCAAAAATAGATGTATCAGCAGCTATGGTAAATCCTGCAGGCGCAGTTTGATAAAGCATGTTGAAGTGAAGTGTGGTCGTATATCAAGTTAACATTGTATTTGTGCCAACTGCTTCAGCTTTATCAGTATAAATCTATTAATAACACGTACTGCTAGCCTTACACATAAGTTTCATAGAGAAATACAACTACATTCGACAACGTTTCTACTTTTTGATACACACGGAGGTTAAAATATATTTATATATAGTACTGGTTTTTTTTCTAGACAGATGTTTATATCATGATATCCATGTCGTCATCACTAAAATATCGAAGGTTGATTGACTTTAATTAAGCCTGTTTATGCAAACTACCTATCGTCCTACTCAATTTCACCAGCTAAAGCAGAAATTATCATTGAAGTATGTAAATAATCATGTTAAGAAATAAGTTACATCTTGCGATATGTTGTTATTCTACAGTTATCATAGCATTTTCAATGTGAAATTTTTGTGTCATTTCACAAAAAACCATCGTGTGTTCCACTAGTAAAAGCAAGTCAGGGCAACGAATATATAAATTTTCTTTTCGTTGTCGGTAACAAATAAGATAAAGTATTTCAATTTATAATACAAATAATCGTGCGTTAATTTTGTCCTGCATGACGACAATAATATCCAAATTCATTCTATTCAAGATTCAATTCCTTTGCAAATAAAACGTGAGATTGCCGTATTTAATATCACCATAATGAAAGAAATTACATATAACCAACCGATTAGTAATAATTAAAAGCTGAGTGTTTGAACAACATTATATGATATCAGTGGCAAATATTGACCAGCACTTGGAATAATGTAGAAATTGAAAACATTCTTATGGTGTACAGCGTTTATCATGACATGTGTTGTAATCAATAGTTGTTTTTTGAAATTCTCTTTATCTTTCAGGCAGAACTATTGTAAAAAAAACTTTAATGTTAATATAATTCTGCACACAAAGGTAACGTACATCGCTGGTAAAAACGCTTAACACACGTAATACAACAATCACTGAATAACTGAAATTTTGAAGCTGTTTTGCAATTAATCGAATAACACAAAGCCAATTCGTCATTACACAAATATCAGCTTTCACTGAGGGCGACAAAACATTTTCCCCTGTTGATTTGATTTTTTCTTTATCTTTTACCGGACAAATAAATATCCAAACCTAATTACTCCTAACTAAAACCCGGCAAAGGTATGTGCGTGATGGCCCTTTGTTATTGTTGCCATGTGACTTCACTGGATGTGACGCTCTAACGTCACATAAGGCTATTTAATAAAGAAATAACGTGAGGTATAATTATATTTATTGTACGTTAAAGTGCATCAATTTGTGTTTGTTGAATTTTTATTGCCATCTTAAAATGTTTTCAAATAATCATAATTTGAATCAAAATTTTTGTTTGGTATGTCACCGAGTGTCGTTTAACTATCTTTATAATAACGTTCGTGATTTTTCTTTCGTTTTTGTTTTTTGTTGTTTTGTTTTACAAAAATATGCTAACGATTCGATTGTCCCATGTCTATGCCTGAAGATTGAGGTGGTCTTGAACATTCAGTTATTGATTTAAAATGGAGTAAACAAGAACAACAAATTAATAAAATGCTACGTGTTTCAATGGGGTCTTTACATATCCCACATAAATTTCATTCTAGACGTTTCAACAGGAAACATAAAAAGATGATGTTGTAGATACAAAACATAAACAATAATATTAAACAAGAACTATAATCACAACACTAAACATTTTGTTTTATATCATTGTTTTGTGCATATGATAACATATTTCAAATCAATAATCTATTCTCCGAAAGTTATTTCTGTCTATTTATTGTTTCTGTACTGATATTTTCCCTTCTTTTCCCTTTTTTATACCAATTTATGATCCAAGATAACGTTTGCAATGGTAAGAAAAAAAAATGAACACATAATAATGCTTATCTTTGTATATTGTCTAATATCATTAAAATTGGAAACAATATTTCCAGAAAGTAATCATGTATGCGAATGGACATTTTTGGTGAAATGGTGCATGTGAACTATAAAAAAGCGCTTAGGCATAGTAAGTAAAAAGTAAAATAATTTAAGTATTTTTAAAAACTACTCACACATTCAAAAGCAATATAATTGCAAATAAATAGCATTTCATTTTTCTAGTAGACAAAATACAGAACAACTGCGTAAATTAGTATCACAATGCA